TACCCCCAACCTCTCAGGCGATTTTGTGCTTACATAATATTTTATGTATAGGCCGGCAGGTCTCTCTCACATAGGAGCTACCGTATGAATATTATATCTTGTAACAGCCCGATCTGGAGAGAGGATCAAAATATTATCGAAAAAGAGGCATTATCAAGAAAATTGTTATATTCTCTCTAAATATTCCTGACGTCCCACTTTCTCAGTAATTTGCCCATCTTCAAAAGAGATTACACGATGGCAACATAAGGACCCTGGTAGAGTGGTATAGTCCTTTATCTAGCCCAAATTATTTATTTTCCTCCATCCTATTTGACAATATTTTGATGTAATACTTAATTAGTCCTCGTGGGTAATTGTTATCAACCAGAATTCTCAATATTTGTCTTAATTCCTGGTCCCGTTGATTAACATCTGCCAGACGCAGGCTCTACTATCGTGGGCTTCATAACTCCTACCTTAACTCCGTGAGTGTGGTTAGAAAATAACTTCAAAGGGAGACCTGCGTTTGTGTGTTTTCTATACACACCTCTAACTAATCTGTTTCCCTCTGCTAAATAGGATATCTAGAAAACGTAAATCGCTGTTCTTTTCTAACTTGATGGTGAGTTTTATTTTCTCGTCTATCCTTTTCATCAAACCTAGGAAATTCTTTTGGTCTTCTTTGCTATGCCACTAAACGGCAAGACTGTCTTCCATATAGCGAAAAATAATTTATGGACTAAAAGTGTCTTCAATCTAATTTTTATTTCTGCTCAGTTTCACTACTCGTCATCTCTCGGCGCGCATTATCCCTCCTTACTTTTAATCCTCAATATTTTTCTTTGTTTCTTTGTAGACATCTATCGATCCCCTTGTTGGATTCACATCGGAAGCCACCCTTGATATGGCCCAGAAGATAGGTTTTTCCACGCCGGAAACAATTAATGAAGCGAGCGACTTCTTCCAGAAGCTGTACAATCTCTTCTGCACTCTAGATTGCACTCTTCTTGAGATCAACCCGATGGCAGAGGATAACAAGGGCAAAGGTGGGATGGTTGCGTCCATCTCACATCACTCTTGAGCGTTCTAAACCACAATCTGCCATCATTTTTCATCTGTTTCTCCGGTAGAGCTCATTCCGATAGGATATATAAGCCTCTAAATTCTTGAAACAGACAATTCTTAGCCGTTTTTCGTACTTTTCTGAAGCTGAAGAATATTTGTTATATATGAGTATATTCGGTTATAAAAAGGATTAGTTCATTAAGTAAATAGGTGATTAATTGTCTCATTAATCGTAACTCGTATCATGATCATATTTTTCCGCCATGCCTTACTTTTTTGTGAATACATGGGATACCAGAAGGAAGAAGATTGAGTATGCTCAAGTGTAAATCTTTATGAGTTCCTTTTACGACAAGTCGATCTTATAGGTCAGAAACCAAAGTCAGATTTCTGCATCTGAATTACTAATTGACTTCGCCTTTATTTGAACTCATGGCTTTGTTTCATACTTCCTCTCCTTATATGCTAGGACCATCCTTATGAGGTCTAGCTGGAAATGAATCCTCACATTTCCATTAGAGTTATCTCTTTCCCAAATACGAAGATTGTGTTTACGATATTACTTACTTACTTACACACATTTTCTCTAATATTTATCCATCTTTTTCTGTTCTCTTAATCTAATGTATGCAAATTTGCTCGTATATGCGCATGATTTGCTCACAGTGATTAATAAGTCCATATGTAACTCCAAAGTGAATTCAGACGTAATGTGTGTAGATGGTGAGGGTATGAAGACCACGATGTTGTGACCTCTGTTTTAGTCGAAGTCTCTAGCTTGTATACTATTGGTTTGAGCTCATTTTCGTACCTTGATAATATTGTCGAAGCGACGTAGTTAAACGCATCTTGTTCAAAGTCATCTGCTATAGTAATTATGATAAGTCCTAGCGTCGGAACGTAGACTTGCTACATTCTCACGTTTTGCCATCATTGTCAGTGGATCCTGTCAGTCATAGTTACAACTCGTCAAACGTATAAGTGAAGTCCATCCCTTGACCAACTTTCTGTCGAATGGCTATGATATCACTCCCTCCCCTACTATCACAACTTCTAACTTGTTTATTTTCGACTACTCTAGGGGTGTCCATATTTTTGGTATTTTCGTGGGGCATTCTCATACCTTGTTTGCCTAGTCATCCTCTTCCTCTCGACTTCCCAGAATTTATGATATATGGGCGAAGTACAGGAGTTTAAAGTCGGCTCAGCGATTTAGGCAAAGCAAGGGGTAAGGAGGTGACTAGGTAGACTGCAGGTGTGATAACATTACATCAAATTTGCCAGATAGGCCACATTTCCAGAGTAGTCTAATATAAACCAGTTCGAAACTGTGCTAGTGAGTGTGTGAGATATGAGCACAGGGGGTAGGTAGGTGGACCAGGACAAAAAGGGTGACAACACAACTTACGGTAGGAAGTTGGTCAAGGGATGGACTTCACTTGTCTCTGGCAAATTATAGCTTGATGCTAATACTGACATAACCCACTGACGCTACCGGCGAAACGCCTGGTTATGTACAAAGTCCACGTTATGAAGGTGGGAGTGATGTTACCTAATATAACAGAAGAATTCGGAAAAAGTGTTTAACTATGTCCTTTAGATAAGACGACCACGTTGCGAAAACGAGAGCAAACCATTTCCATGTAATAGATGATTTCAAAATCATGCGTTTTTTTGACATATGTCCATCATCTCTTATGCGAATAGGTAGGTCCAAAATATAAAAAAATCCACTTATTATTCTGGTCATTATTTTCTTATTTTATTCATGATAAAGTAATCTAGTTTGGTAGCCCTAATTATATATCTCTGCAGATTTATATTCTGCTGGTCATATCTGGTATACCAGTTATTGCTTGTATGACCTTTGCTGCATGTTTTTTTGCTCGGACTTTATAATTTCGATTCCCAAGTCTGGTTAGATCTGTAAATCACTCTCTTATATACGAAATAAAGTAAAAAAAATTTAAAAAAGTCAAGTCTGACGAGTAATGGCTTGGGGCTGAGAATGACAAGACTTACTGACGACACCGGCGAAATGTCTCGAAATGTACCAAGTCCACGGTCCGACGCTGGGAATTATGATAATTAATATAGGAGAGGACTTCAGACAAGGTGTGTCCAGCTAAGTCTCCTTGATAACACGACCAAGTTGCGAAAATAAGGTCAACCTACTTATCTATGTCGAACGGAGACTGCGACTATGCCATAGACCACACCATCTTGGTCTTTTTATGTTCGATCAAGGTTTAATTATTACTGGTTCTTTCTCGGGCTTCGCTTTAGTCTAATATAGCTCTCTTTCGCGTTAACTCTAGCTTGATTACGCACACAGGACTCAATATTAGGGACTAAGAGACAAACAGAGGGCGGAAGCATACGTTCTGTGTTGTATTGGATCGCCACTTCTTCCTAATCAGTGCATATTTTCACTATACTGTGCTTTGAGACCACAATAACTCTTGTCCCGCGACCGCTTACACTCGAGTGGCAAGCTTTCGTTTGCAAACTTTTCGTGACCATGTGTATTGCCCGATGTGGATTAATAAGCAGTCGATGAGAACAAACATTTTATCGGTAGCCTAGAGAGTGCGAATTCTTTGCAAGAAGAACTTT